TGTCTCCGAAATAACGAATTATGTTAGGGCAATGAAGCAGTCCGCATTTTATCCTTTTTGTCCGCATTCGCATTTTAACCCTTTCGTCCGTCCGTCCGTCCGTCCGCTTCCGTCCGTCCGCGTCCGTCCGTCCGCGTCCGTCCGTCCGCGTCCGTCCGTCCGCGTCCGTCCGTCCGTCCGCATCCGCGTTTTATCCCAACCCCTTTTTTTATTGACTTTATTAAAAACGGTACTATTTCACCAAGATATTTACAAAAATTAAGACGGGTGATCTTCCAATAGGCCGTATATAGCTATACTAATTACACATATACTACAGTATCTAATAATAATAACTAAATTACACACAAATTACACACTTACAGTTAGACTATTTTTAAATGTAGAGATACTTGTTTTAGCTTTTATGTCAGCAGACAGATTATTCCAAGTCTCAGCTCCTCGATAGGCGAAAGACTTTTTCATAAAATTAGTTTTAGGTTTAGGTAATGCAAAATTGAATTCGCTCTGTCTTGTATTGTAATTATGTATTTCATTTGAGGTGATGAAAAGTTCCGTTAAGCAATTTGGTAACATGTTATGTTTGGCTTTGAACATTAGGACGGCTAAATGATGTTTTCTTCTAGTCACGAGATTTGGAAAACCGACCTTGTTCAAAACATCGATTGTACGTGTATCATAGTTTTCACGAGTTATTATTCGAAATGCTCTATTTTGAAGCTTCTGGAGTTTATCAGATAGTACTTTACCCAGACAACCCCAAATCTGTGAGCAATAGTCGAAATGTGGTTGAATTATTGATAAATAAATTTTGATCAGTGTTTGGTAATCTAGAATGTCTCTCAATCTTTTAAGGATACTGAGACCTGAATTAACCTTTTTTGTAATTTGATCAACTTGAGCATTCCATGAGAGTGTTTCGTCAATCATTAAGCCGAGTGATTTGGTCGTTTTGACTCTATTAATTTCTCTGTCTTTTATGAATATATTAGGCGTTATGTTAATATGATTGACTCTTCTATTACTACCTATTATCATGTATTCTGTCTTCGTTTTGTTTAAAGTTAGTTTATTTGCCGACAACCAAACTGAAACGTTTTCTAGATCTTGATTAAGTTCCTCAGCAATTGTATTAACATCATAACCTGCCGTTTCAATTTGGGTATCGTCGGCAAACATATTGACTTTAGTGTGTTCCAGACAATTAGGTAGGTCATTTATGTAAATTAGGAACAAGAGTGGACCAAGAGCCGAACCTTGTGGTATACCCGTTGTCACACATAGAGGATCAGATAAATGGGCATTCACTTGGCAATATTGTATTCGACCTGTTAAATAGGAGTTGAGCCAGCGTAATGCCGACCCCCTTATGCCATAAATTGCCAACTTACTAAGAAGGATGTCGTGATTAACAGTATCGAATGCTTTTTTTAAATCAAGAAATATCACACCATTAAGTTGGCCAATGTCCATATTCTGATACCATCTATTTGTGATATCGAGCAACGCAGTTAGAGTTGAATGGTTCGGCCTAAAGCCGTGTTGGGAATTTGCTAGTAGATTTTCCTTAATCAAATATTCATAGATCTGGTTGTGTATTAGCTTTTCCATGATTCTTGCAACAATTGAAATAACGGATATAGGTCTATAATTGGACATGCAAAATTTTTCCCCAGATTTATAAATTGGTGTAACCCTCGCAACTTTCCAGTCAGATGGAAATATGCCAGTGCGGATTGATTGATTAAAAATTAAAGTAAGTGATGGAGCAATAGATGGTGCTGCAATTTTTAAAACTTTAGCCGAAATTTGATCCAGACCGGATGCCTTGGATATAGTTAAGTTAGAAAGCAATCTCAATATTACAGTCTCTGATACCTCTTTAAAGTGCGATAAAGTGTCAGTTGGACATTGAAAATTGGTAAAATATCTGTCGGGAGTTGACGTTGATAAGGGTATATCATTAGATAAATTATCCCCTAATTCAATGAAATATTTGTTAAACTGATTTGGGATATCCGCTTGATCAATAATTTCGTTATTTTCATTTTTAAGCTGTAGTACTTTATTGGCTTTTTTTGACTTGTTAATCACCTCATTGATTATTTTCCATGTTTTCTTAATATCACCTGAATTATTATGTATCTTTTCTTGATAGTGTTGACGCATTGTACTTTTAATCAATCTATTATAATGATTCTTCAATGATTTATAGGCTGCCCAGTCGCCGTCTAAGTTAGATAAAGTTGCCTTTCGTTTAAGATATGCTTTTTGGCGTTTATAATATTTTAACTCACGGGTTAACCAAGGTACACGTTTCTTAGACACTCTACGTTTTTTTAAGGGTGCATGTTTATTGACAATATGAAGAAATTTATTTTTCCAAGTTAACCAAGAAATGTTGGGATCTAAATGGTCTAAATTTAGGCTTGATAATGATTCCAATTCAAAAAGAAAATTGTTTTCATTAAAGTGCTTGAAATCCCGATATTCTACAACTTCCGGGGCTCCCTTGGTTGTATAAAATTTACGAATACCGTAAATTAAGTAGTGGTCACTAATAGTGATAATTCTTACCCCACTAGAAATTATTAAGTCTGGTTTTGTTGTATAAAAGTGATCAATCAAAGTTGCGTTATCTTTAGTGACTCTTGTAGGTTCATTTATCAATTGCTCGTATTGATAAAGATTAGTGATGAAATTCATCTCAAGACAAGATGTGAAGGATTGCTACTTAGGATATGTGCTTCGCTGTCGCCGTTGTTATAAATAAATTGTCTCACTTATATCAGATCGTATGTGCAATTCTTGTTGGCGGCGAAAAGTACGAAATTTATTTCAGCTATTTCATTTGGTAAGAACTCTACAAAAGAAGAGAGCGTTCAGAAGGCCGACTCTGGGGCGGTATATCGCCTTAAATCGCCCTAAATCGCCTTAAATCGGGGGTTAAAATTGTCGAATTTCTCTTAAATAGCCTAAAATCGCCTAAGATCGCCTAAGATCGCTTAAAATCGCCAACATGCATTCTGCTTGATACATTCAGTTCATGTACTCAAGCTTGTCAATTGCTGCTATTTTACGGGCAAATCATGTAATCCAGGTGCTTTGCAATCAAAAGTAATGCAACATGAATTAGCAATCAAATAAGTGGATTAGGCTGACAATATTTAGTCACCCAATAGGCACCGGTCATTGACAAAAACAGAGCCTTTTTCTGCTTTATGCAGACTTTACAATAATTAGGTAATTCTGGGATCTAAAAGACCCATAGATTCCATACACTACCAGCAACAAAATTGAGCTAGTTACCAGAATGAGCTAATTTCATTATTGGTGTAAATGGAGGCTGGGCTACAATTTATATGGACTATGGAGGCTGGGCTACAAATTAATCTATAATCTACATGGCTTCTCAAAGCCTAATTGCTGTTAATTAGAACAACAGTAGGAGACTACGAAAGTCAATGAGTACGAGTGTTGATTTGTATAATAAAGTCATCCTGTAATTTGTGCACTGTTGCATGTAAGATCGAGCACTGCATTGTATACAATGGTTGTACTTTAACATGTGCATGGTTATACTCTAGCTCCAGTTATAATTATAGTGGCTATCAAACGAAAAATATACGTGAGGTTATGAGCGATTTGCAACTCTCGTCTATTAAATTTTCCAGACCTGTATATACAATAAACAGTAAAAAAATGATTACATCTTACATACCATACAATAGATCTTTTGTTGTTGTTTGTTTGCAGAACCTAAAACCACGATGTAGTGCGCCATTTGTTTTACAACACTGTATTATTATTTTTTAAATTTTAACTAGTATAGTAATTTAGAATTCCTACCATTTATATACGATATACTTCATGTAATTTAAACATTACGGCATTACGCCGACAGTTTCCGAATGCGTGACGATACTGTTTCTGGATATGGCACTGGATATGATATAGATATAAAAATTTTTATAAATATGTTTGTAGAATGAAGAAAGCACGAGATTGAAACAGTTTAAATAAAAATAAAAGTTTTGACACGATACAAAACAAGACAATTTTACTTACAAGGGTGACAAGGTAATTTATAGGATTATAGCTTATTTTGGAAATCAAATATTTATTATATTTTGCAATTTTAACTCGACATAAATTAATAATATTAAAGTTTAAGACATGTGTAGTGCATGCCCCTTAAGTAGAGTATATTAACTGTTTACAATATTTGTAGTATATAATGTAGCCATGAATGACCACATGACCCCACAAGATGAACCCCAATGGCTTCTGAATAGAGAATGGGTGAAAACTTTATGAATATTGAGCTTTATATGCGAATCAGGTTAAATACAATAATTAGTTAACCTAGCTTTATATAAAATGTACATACATGTTCTAATAATTGTTTTTTGCTTCATACAATGCATATATGTGTGTGGAAACATTACATTATTATTCAGCTCACTCCCCACATTGGGGCTTTTCAGTGACCGATTACATCAAGTACTATGATTACTTATATTAGCCTAGACTATTTATCTTGACAACAATGAGGATATGACATTACTTTCCTAACTGTGTTTATTCTAACCCACCCTGCCAATTTTGCCCTGTGGGAGGAAACCGGAGCAAAATATAAAATTCAATTCCTTTGAAAACACCCAAATTGCAATCCCTAAAATTTAAATTTTTTTCTTATATCGCCTTAAATCGCCTAAAATCGCAGTGCTTGAAAGTCCCAGTTTTTCCTTAAATCGCCCCAAATCGCATTATATCGCAGCGATTTAAAGCGATTTACCGCCCCAGAGTAGGCCTGTTCAGAGTCCAGATCGTTTCGTTTCAAACGGCAATTACCGTCTTCTGTTTCGCTCTCTCAGCGAAGCCTGGCAAATCGCAAAGTGTTTCCAATAGGCTTTATACATGCAACTGCCTCTAAATCTTCACCGCGAAAAGCGCTGTTTTCTTCAGTGCAAGAACAGAGTCAACATCAACCAAAAGATAATTTTCTTGAGGAACATATAACATATCAATTAAATTTAGTCTGTTTGAAATTAATAAAACTCAAGTAAAGGTTAATACTATAGTTTACCCCGGCAGTCGTATTAAATGTTGCTATTCCAACACTTCACGACAAGCAATCCCCATTGGCATAACGGCAAAAACATCTCTTTCTTCAAGTAAACAATAAACAGTCTGTTCTTGTTCCATTTTTAATCGAAAAAAGTGATCAATTTTCGAATTTTAATTAGCTTATCGAGAGCCTTTGTGATGAATCAGTGATCTAATTATAGAATCCAACAGCAAACAGCCAATGAGAATGCCGCGTTCGTGGGCGAACGCGGAAAGTACAAAATACCGGGCCTTGCTTGCAGGCCCACTATTCTTCCCTTGGGCCTGCACGTGGGCTAGTACATATCAATCGAATGAGAGAGACTGACGATTAATTCAATTAAAGCCATATAAGTTGAGTAATTCTTTCTGAAACCATACTGATTGCTAAATAATTCTTTCCAATATTTTTGAAAATATTGGAAGAATGGAAATTGGCCTATAGTTACCAAGGTCTACCAAACGATTTACGGTCATCAGATTTATAAACAGGGGTTATCATAGCCTCTTTTAATTTGTCAGACACTCTGCCAGTATTCATGGATTTATTGAAAACATTTGACAAAATAGGAGCTAATGGTCCAGCAAGTTGTTTAATAATAAATGGGTCTATGAAATCAATCCCACAGGATTTATTTGCGTTAGGTTCTGAGATAAGTTTAGTTATTTCATCTTCATTAGTTTCAAACAGTACAAACGAGTGCATGTTAGATCCTTTAAGGTAGTGAGTTAAATTAACAGAAGTATTAGGAATTACTTTTGCTAGATTAGCGCCAATGTTGCATGGCAAAGTATTTATTGAAAGAATTGGAGATTATCTGAGGGTCAGCAGTCTCAGTATCATTGAAATGGAATGATTCAGGGTAAATAGTTTTAGATTTTGGTTTTCCAATTAGGTCATTAAGGATTCTCCAAGTATGCTTCAGATCAGATTTGGCAGATTCAAGTTTCATTGTAAAGTAACGCTTTTTTGCGATTTTGAGAAGATGATTCAATTTGTTCCTATGATTTAAATTTTTGTTCAGTTGGTGAATTCCTTTCTTTTAAGAACTTTTTATTTTGTTATACGTACCAAGTTCGTTATAAGCTAAATGAATTATACCCGAGATAAACTTAAAACTTTATTTAAAATTACGGCAAGCAAGTTAACAACCTTGCCACTCGACAGCCACAATCACACTAATTGCATGCTTTTGTTCAGTGTAATTTAATATATGCTGTTCACGGTTAACTGCACGCATACACACATATAACACAATATAAATACACACATATAACACACTCCCCCTCTTAAGTTCCAACCCGTCCTGGGTGGACTTTACTCACACATACAGTCATATAGTTACGTTTATCTTGAAGAAA